AAAAAAAAAAAAAAAAAAAAAAAAAAAACCCTGTACTAGCATTTACTTTAAGAACAATACAGATAAAACCAGCTCAAATTTTCCAAACAATAATAACCTAAAAGTTGGAAGTCGTAACTTACTTCACACTTTAATTGAACTAAAGCAGCACCAGACAAATCTTGGTCCAAGAACTTCTTCACAGCAACTTCCTGTATTTTAAAATAGCTAAATTAAAACTCCAACTCTGACAAAAAAAAACTCGAAGCAATGCATACGCTTATCTGTTGAAACTTACAGTGCCATTCCAATCTGCTCGATAAACCTCGCCATATGAGCCTGTATAAGAGGAAGGCCATTAAATTATTCTTCATTTAAAAAATATATGGAACAGCAATCTCCACCTTTATACCATTAAGACAACCCAAGGACTTGTTCTGAAAACTGTTTTCAGAATAATTTCCTGTTCTTTAAAACATTAATGTGAAAATATATTTGGATAGCTGTTATTTTAACAGCATCATTTTTTTTCTTTAGTGAGTCAGTGAGTGTCCTATTTTTACCTAAAAAGGACAGATACTTTAGTTTGACTAGCGTGTCAAGACTAACTCGTGTCAAACACTTGGATGCTCCGACACTTGTTAGACACATGTCGAACACTGTGTCTTGTGTCCGTGTTTGTTCTAAAGTCAATGGGAAATCACATTATAACCTATACAGGTTATCTGATCAATGTTTGAAAATAATCTTGAAACAAACAGAAACTCATTTTAAAGTGGTTTCCCAAACAAACTGTGTCAGATATGAACGTTATCAGTGATAATTAAATCTACAGTTTCATATTCACCTAAAATTTGATTGGACCCAACTGATAAAGACAGAACCAAAATGATAATTCATTGAGACTAGATGTGGCTTACCAATACCAATTCGTTCACCAATGTGAAGATCCTCCCAAGGAATTTCCCATTCTGCAACCTCACCTAATATTGGGTCAATTGTCTCACTGCGGACATCACTAGCACGCTGGTTACCATTATCAATTTCTAACAAATTGTCATGCAGATTTTCACGCAAATCGAAGCACTGAAGAGTTCCACCACTCTTATCTTTCAAAAATCTTCTTTCTTCACTCACGAAGACACTTCCTAATTGTCTGTTATCAGAGTCAGCATCAGATGCCAACGAAACACCATCCACGTGCTCACGATGAAAAGTTCCATTAACATCAGCCAATTTGCCTGTTTCTCCATTAACATCGACGAACACAAATCTGTTGTTTTCCATATTGTGGGGCCAAAATATGGTGTGCTTGTTTGCATTTGCCTCGGGTGTTTGTTCTTCAGATGATCCCTCAGCAGACACTTTCTGCTTATTTCCATGGACAACATTGTTCAAAAACACTGATTCAGTAGAAGTAGCAGAAGACTGTCCGTGGCTTGCTAAAATATAAGGGTGGCACTGAAGCCCAACGTCTACGCCTCTTCCATCGATTGGATACATTTGGAAAGTTTCTTTGCTTTCACCATTACCCTGGGAGTCTATATCTGAAAACAAATCTGCAGGAGGTGATGCACCACTTTCTAACAAGACAGCATGCAATTTCTGAGCAAACTCTGGGTTCTTTGCAGCATTTATGACATACTTCGACACTTTTTTCACTTTCTTCTTTTGTGCAGATGCGGACTGATCACATGCACCTGATGAATTTTCACACGCGCAGCTTTCTAATTCTAGAAGCTTCCCAAAATCATAGTCAGAATTCCCAGCTTGAATTTCTTCAATGAAGCTCCTAATATTTTCTTTTGATTGAGCATCTAAATCTGAAGCTTCTTTGGATATTAAGTTGCAAATATTTGCTACTTCATCTTGAGTAGATGCCATCGACACCGCTTCAGATCCTTCATTTTGTAACACTGTCGTATCTTCAGGAATTTCGATAACATCTGCAGGCCTCCTATCAAAGCTATAATTCGAAAATTGGCAGCTGGGTGCCTCTGAGGGAATTAGCGTGCCTGGAGCACCCATAAGATCAATAATATATTCACTGCGTCATAAAATAAATCATATGTAAATATTAGAGCTCCGTGTAATTCTTTAAGATTCACTTAGATTGGTATGAATATAAAAAATCGGGCAAGCACTTCATTACTTTTTTCATGAACAAACACGAAATGAAGAGCATGGTACATTAGTTTGCAGAAAACCTAGAACTAGAAGAGAGGCTTATTTAGGTGCATCAGATATGCGTAGACATCCCAAATGAGTCGGTTACCAGAGGAGTATTTCTACTACGACCTAGAACGAACCAATAGACTTAAATCAACAAAATGGAACCAAGATGTGAACAGCTGCGAATCGAGAAAATTAAAAGGGTCCAGATAGAGAAATCCACTATATTTCTGTAAGATATTCTATACTAGACAATAAAGAGATTCAATCATCTATAATTACCTTCCATTATCAATTTTGATCATGTTCACAGCTCCGTCATCGGTACCAGTGTAGTAGCTTCCTTTGACAAGTATGCATGGAAGATTAATCCTATCAGCTAGTACCTAATACCAAAATTATTTAGTAAGAAACTTACACAAAAAACTAAAGGTAAAAGGCAGAGTTTGACAAGCTTAAGAATTCACATGGCCGTGATTATTAAAGCAGATAGCACCAGCCTCAAGAAACTAATGGTAAAAGGCATAAAATGGAGAGTTTGCAACCTTGAAAAGCAAAGCTCGATGACGTGCAAGTCCAATATCAAGACGTCCGAGTGGTAGAATAATAGTGCTCAGAGAACTACGCATTTCATAACTCCTGCGGGTCCACCTTCTCAACATTTCTTCAGCATCACCAACAGGACCACCCATTCTAGCCACAACTAGATCAGCAATCTTTTGAACCAGTCCACTTAAAATGAAGCCATACTCAGAAACTCTACATTCCATGAATATGTTATATGCTTGTCTTTCCAAACGTTGGAGCTCGGAATCAAGCAAGCGGTTAACCAAAATCACTTCATAATCAATATCACTTGTCACACATATTTCTTTAAGATCGACTAACAGTGGCATCTTTCCTCGGGTGCTAGAATTTGTAGTAATGCCATATAAGTCATAAAATCCATCCATCACTTTTTCGTCATAATTTACAACATTATAGCTCTGCATTGGTAGATAGAATAGTTAAAAAACTGATGTTGCCATGATGAATAATATCAATAATACACTGCATTTAACAATACATTCACAAACTAATAAAGATGAAAATATAGATTTGTAAGCATAAAAAATTAGTAACTAATTCTCATTTAATTATAATCATAGGATGTAACTCCTTGTATGATCAAAATTTATATTTATGGAAAATGAGAGAACAATCCCATTTCCAGCATCCAAGATGTACAAAATATTCCCATCAACACAACTCCAAAAGACAACCTTATGTAACAGTCCAAGCCCACCGCTAGGAAATATTGTCCTCTTTGGACTTCCCTTTCGGGCTTCCCCTCAAGGTTTTTAAAACGTGTCTGCTAGGAAGAGGTTTCCACACCCTTATAAGAAATGCTTCGTCCTCCTCTCCAACTGATGTCGGATCTCACACCTTATGCTCAAGTAGGTTGCATTTCAAGCAAAACCATAAATTGATCGTTGATATGATACGAACATCAGGCACCAAATTCAAAGTACTTAACCCCAAAAGAAGAAACAGAGATAAATAAAAAAATATAGGATCAAATAGATTAACAAACTAACTAGATACGCAAACCTACAACTGCACCAAAATTGATATACTTGTCCCCAACCTCACTTTGAAAACTATAAATCAGGAGCAAGTGCAAAAGCCCCATAACCATAATTCCCCAATCCAGTTGCAAAAGGGGGAGGAAATAATTTCCTTTACTTTTTTCTTTCTTTTTTTGCATCTACATCCAAAAATGGAATACGAGGATTCTCAAAGTGATTACCATGATCCATAAACTACACTTAACTGAACGAGTAAACTTCCCAATCACCCAAATATTCAAATAAAGATCAGAACAGCACTCACGACAACGATGCAGTAATTGATCATATAACCGCCAAAATAATTCAAGCACGGGGGGAGTAGCTAAGATAGAAAATAGCAATTCCCCACTCATCATTCAAACCGATGGCCTAATATGCAAAGTTTTTTAAAACTGAAACTGAGACATAGCCAGTCTAATGGCAATTTAGCACGTAATAGCAATTGTTCAAGAATCCAATGCCAAGAGGGAAAGAAATCCCCAGAATCGCAAGCTGTATAGCAATTGAAACATAATTGAAATTGCAATTCGCGATATTGAACAATCAAAACCTAGAAGTTGAACGATGGGAACAAGAAATGCCCAAATTCAAAAAAATTAAAAGCAAGTTAACTGGAAAAATACCCAATACTGAAGCGAGAGAAATTCGGCAAGAGCTTGACTGCCGGAGATTGAAGGCGAACAGCCAAGACTCATCCGCTTGGCGGCATCGATCTGAGCGGATTCAGTGTCCTGTCTCGAATCAGGATCGGAAGCGCTAATCGCCATAGCCAATTGTACCTGAAACTCCTCCTCCAAGGCATTGAAATCCACGCACGTATCGCCCACATCCCCAGAAGTCACCTGATCAACGACTGATTCAACGGCCTCCATTCTCCCCATTGTAGTGGAAGCCGCCATAGACAGAGACGAGGATGACCCAGAAGAAGATGAACCAGATGGATTACTATTGGGGCTTGGGCCTGGACTGGGGCTCGAACTGGGTCGCGTCACAGGTCGAGCATCGTTCAATCGCTGGTGCTCATTAAATCCCCCACCGATGTGAAGCTTTCGAAGAAGATGTTTCATTCTCGACATCGATCATCAAGCCACAACAGAACACCCTCCCTATCTATCTATCTATCAATCGATCTCTTCATACACAAGGTTCACAAATACGCCTTTTCTTCCTCTTTCCCCCAACCCCCCACCTTTAGTTTCTGTTTCGATTTTGCTATTTCTACCTGTATACGCTAAAACCTACGCCCACCATCAGCTCATCTAAACTCAGAAAACCACAGATTATTGAGTTAACATGGCTACCTTTCTTCCTCAAGCTAATACCATTCTACACCTTCCACGCCCCCAATTAACTCATTTCGCTCCCTTCCCCGTCTCTTCCATTCCTTTTTTTTTTTTTTTTTTTCCTCTTCTTCTCAAGTCAATGACGCCATCTCGATCCTCTGCAATCACATCCACCATTCTTCCATTGACCTCTCTTCATCCTGACCCTTGATTTCTTCCAAGTCCATGCCTTTATTAATACCCTGATGAAATTGTTGAACTGGGTCCCATCTCTGTCGGTTCAACTCCATTTTCAGCTTCCTCTCAACCGTCCGATCAAACAGTGGCAAGCGGGTTTAACGCTGTAATGAAGTAGACAATTGAAGCAAAACAGTCAATTTGATTTTCTTATTAATTATTATTAATTCGGAATCTTAAGAAAGTACGCGGATCGGACAGTTAGCATCATCTGAGGTTACATGATATGATAATTGATATTCAACTTCGCTAGATATGTGCAATCAAGGAAATCAAAAAATAAAAATAAAAGATTTATTAAAAAAAATTTGTAAAGCAGCCCTCCCTTTTAACTTGAAATTCAAAATATGCCTCCGTTTTGAGTATGCTGTATTTTATATTGATAAAATCACATTAAATTTTTTGAAATATGGTTGGCAATTGCAATTAATTTTTGTTAAATTAGGTAATTGATTTTAGGCGAATGAAGCAGGTCATTTCAAGAATAGAAGCATTAGAAGGTATTTGCCAGCTCATTTCTTACGTGTCCTTATCCAATACTGAAGTTTCCCAAACCTCGTACCATTGCTTTTAACTCTTAATTGTTTTTCTTGACGGTCAAATTTCTTTTAATTATTTCGTTTAAATTCTTGTGTTTATATAGATTAAATAATTTGACATGAATTTCTAAAGGATCAAAACATTTACAAATTAAGAGAGAGAAACTATGTGAAACTATACAGAATCAAAGTATTAGTGTGTTTGGATAAGAGGAGAACGGTTACAAACTTACAATACAGCTTACCACGTTGGAGTTCCCGCGTCCACAAATATTACTAAAAAAAACACAAGTTTAAATAATAATAATAACAATAATAGGCTAAAAAATTAAAGTTAAAATTAAAATTAAACCCTTCTTGGATTTACCAAATTTGTATTAATTATCCTAAACGTGAATAATTAGTCAATAATAAAGATGTTAAACATGAATCTCATGAAGAATGATGAGATTGGTAAACGGTAGCAGCCGCAGGGTGATGATGGGCCTGGGAATCATGAACAGATGAGATTTAAATGATTGCATATGAAGCTGAATTGTGAGTAAAGGTAGGTGAACCAAATTTCAACTTTTAAGCATGACCAACCATGCCTGATTTCGTGTAGTATAATTTGTCCTAACCCAACATGACACTAAAACACAATAGACATATTTGAACGAGATGTGGTTTGATTTAGCCCTCCCAAAGATAAGATTCCGATGCAAGGTATAAATATTAAAAGAAAAGCCAAACAATGCAGCAAGTAGGTACCCAACCAAAAATTGGGAGTTTATAGCCACGAGGTTGGAAAAGCTGCTGATGTTCGCCAGCCACAGATGATGGTTTCTTCCAGAGCACCCTGCAATTGAAGTTACTTTTACGATAATTGGATCAAAATTACTATCATGGAATACAAGATATGCATGACAAACGCCCATTTGAGCTTGATTTTCATCTCTGTTATAGAACGAAAGGACTTATAGAGAAGCCCAGCCTGTAACTTTGTCTGCCAGAATCATTCCTACGGGTACCTTCTCCTTCTGAATTGGAGCAATTGATATCTTACCCGGTGAAGGCGTGCATTACCTAAATCTGTCCAAGTAAAACCGTCAATGACACAGAATTTATTGAAATTGTGAGTAATAAAAGTAAATTAAACAGAGAGAGAGAGAGTTGTTCCATTTCCAATGTATGACACTTCTTGATTTCACTTTCCAATGGATACCAACTAGGAGAGTGCCTGGAAATGGAATGGCCACGCATTCATGGCGCATGAAACCTGGCGCCCTGACAGTATTCATGCTGAAATTTTGGTATGAAACAGCAATCAGCCAGAATCTTGAGAGTCATATCATTCAATCATTTCATGCAAGATTTTTTCTAATTGAGAAAAGGGGGAAAAAAAAGGCTATGAAGCCAGAAGCTTGAAAGTTTTGTCATTCAATAATTTCATGGATGCTTTTCTTAAACTGAGCAAAGAGAAAAAGGGCTATGAGGGCACTGGGGATAGTTGCTCAACATGTGCGGGAAGAGTAAAGTTCCATACGTTTCATTTTCTCCCCACAATGAGAAGTATCTCTTGAGGAAAAGCTCTTCAAGGGATTGGTATTAGTAATGTCCCTCTGACCCTAAAAGCCAGATGAATGAAACTAGAGAGCGGGGGATCAGGAGTGAGATTGCAAAGATGATTATGAAAAATGAAAAATTGCAATTAGAATTACAACCTTTGACGCTTCAGCGAACCTCAGACGATCCCCCATCTATACTATCTATTAAAATGTAGGAGGTCATAAGGGGCGGCCCCATTGGCAAGGGCTTGGGGTCTCTGGATCATACCAGCTTAGATGTATCAAGTTCAAGCCATTGAGAGCACATAATACCATAATCCCTCGATGTCTCCCGGATTCGGACCTTCAGGCGAGCACGGGTGCTCCCGGGTATTGGGGAGCAAAGCTCTGACACCCAAAAAAATCTACTAAAATGTTAAGATGTCAGCAAAATTATCACAACCCTATGGAGATGTCAAGATGGTACTAAGCGGCTGTGGTATTCGGTGGGAACTATTATGCATTAAGAGACATGTTCAAGATAGAAAAACAACTAATACGCAATGTAACAGCAGAAGATCGCCTAGAAACAGGATAAGATAAAGAGGGATAACCTCACATTCAAGTATTCAAATGCATATCCAGTGGCATAGCAACTTGAACCACCAAAGGCAAGAATCTAAAATTCATATGGTCTTCCTTTAAAGAAATTCCTAGGAAAATTTTCATTTCGAACATAGCAGTGCCAGCAGAAATAGTCCGACTTGCTGACACTGAGATAATACACAAGTTGTAATGACGGTCCCCTCTAACCTGCAAAGTTTTTAGACATCAGCTGTGCAGTTCAAATGGACCCTTAGCTTATATGAAAAGTGGATGTCAATACAAACAAATAATGCAAAACTATGCACTACGATGTTCCTAAACGATTATGACATGTGAACAAGTTTATTTCATCCAAATGATACCTGCAAGGGTACTGAAATGGATAGAAAATAAACTATGCAATCTCATATTAAGAAATCTAATCTCCTAATTGAGTGAAATCATAACTGCTCACTGTTTAGATCCCTATCAGAGTATCATCGGTATGAAGTAGAAGGCTAAATCTGCTCTATTTCTTCGTTTAATTTAGGAATGCTCAAAAGAAAGAAGAGAGGCAGAGCAAGCATAGAAAAGAATCCAACGGTATAGCCTTTCTTACTTTCTAGGGAATTGAATGATCTAAATAGAGAGTTGATCTATTTGAAAAGAAATTACAGATGCATCAGCAAGGGGAAAGTGCAAAACCAAGTGGATTCTTCTGAACAAGTTGTAATTCAACAAGGAATAAAATGTGCCTGTTCATTCATACGCAAAACTGAAAGGGTAGATCTAGAACAAGCTTGTTTTTAACATTTCTGAGGTTGAATCAGAATCTTGTAAAAGGAATCCCTAAATAACCTCGAGTATGGTCAAAATGGTTGGTCCCAAAAAGTTTGGACAATTATCAGAATAATTTCGAAATTTATATTTCACTAATCACACAATAATTTAATAGAACTATACTGTCTCAAAGTGAAGATCCTTTCATTACCCGCCATAAACGGTACCCAGACGTACAGTACAAATGCAGAACAAGAAGTGCCGGTAGACTCGTCCTTCCTAATGTGTTAATCCTTTTTTTTCCATTACCACACGCAGAGCAGGCCTTCCTGAAGAATCAACACACTCACAGATCTCCCTAACAGTCATCCTTCTAAACTGTTCGGAGCGACAAGAAGTCATGATCAGTAAGCCTTAATTGACGTTCATCATAAAAGAAAGTAAATATCAGCCCACGAATAGAGCGAAAATCTCCCTAACCATCCTAACATCATGCCTCAAACCTGTCTATCCCCCATTCACCGGGAGGCTTAAACATTGGTTAGATTATTTCCAGGCACACGATGTCAGCGCCTCGAAAGAAGCCGATCGAATCCGCCTGGCAAGGAATCCGATACAAGAGCTCAAAGAATACAATGACTAAAAATGGCGATGAGGACAGAGCATACCTCAACTGCGCAGAAGATTCAACCATTATGCAGCGGTTCCCAACGTAGGCTACGGCGATCGCCAGGTTCGCCGGAAATCTAAAGTTAACCGACAACCAAGAATACCCTGCGCGCGATAAAAGAATGCAAATCCGATGACAACTTCATTCAACAATTGGTTCCAAATATATATACAGAACGGAAGACAAAAACAGAACAAATTGGGCCTTCAAAGACGAAAAAGCCGATGCTATAACTGTCCTCCGTTCATCTATTGTTATTTTTAGTTTCTATATTTTTATTTAAATGTAAATTTTAGATTTTCTTTTCTTTTTTCCTTTTTTGTTTTAGTCCTAGATGCCTTAAGCATGATCCAATGGATAGATTGTGAGATCCCACGTGGTTGAAGATGGATCTTGTAATAGTGTTAAAACATGTTCATGGATGAGTCTTGTAAGAGTGTTAAAACATCTCTCTAATACCTTAGACACGTTTTAAAAATGTGAGCTAACAATAATACATAACAAGCTAAAACAGACAATGTCTATTACCAGTAAACTTAAACTATTACAAATACGTTTAATGTCAGTCTTTAAAGTCACAGAAGAAATAATTATGTCTTTCCATGTGATTAGAATATTTAAAAAATAATAATAATTTTTAGACTTAATTTAAAATTAGAGAAAAAAAAAACAAATAACAAGGAGGGTAGGTAAACAACAATAGTACATGTAGTACCTGTTGAGATATGGGCTGGGCCATAAATGGGGCCTAATCAACAGCAGCAGTAGTATCCGTCAAGGCTGGATATTCTGCCCAATCACCACACCCCAATATCATAATTGAAAGACTACGAAATTATTCCCCTTTCAATGTTCATAAATATTCCATAAACCCTAACCGTCAAACCTAATAGGAATGGAATTTTTTAATTTTAAAATGATTAATAATTGTTAAAAGTCTTAAATTAAAAAAATAATAATAATAATAATTCAAATGATGTAAAATCTCGATTACCGGCAGAAAGGCTCGGACACATTTTTTTTCTTATAAGAGGCTGAACCAATCCCATCCCAAAACGAGAAAAACAATCTTTACAAAAGCACCCAATTACACTATATCTCATTTCGACATTAACTTGAACTTAGTACTAATTTAATTTTCGAAGTGCACACCGAAATATATTATGTAAATACGTGCGTAACATTTATATATATTTTTTAGTTTTATCCTATAGTTTGTAGCTCACAGATACCATGTTACGCGTCACAAGTGAAATTAAAATACATGTATTTGATGTCGTACTTAACATCCAAATATTCATGACCTCGTCACACGCGTTGATGTTTTTAATATATTTATACAGTAAAAAGAAATTGCACATTTTTTTTTGTCCGAGTATTATTCTAGTTCCAGAAATCAACTCGTAGGTGTCCAATATTTTAATTATTAACAAAAGTAGCAGTAGCTTACTTTAGCCAATAAAATAAAATAACTACATAAATATTAAATAAGTATTTATTTAGTTAATTTTATTTTATATGATAAAGCGAGCATCGTATTTATGTCGTGGCCTATTAGAAAAATACTAAATTTATATTTATGTGACTTTTATAAATTATAAAATATGTTTTGGTTGGATTAGTTTAAAAATTTAAATAAAGTTATTTAATACATAATTAAAAATAGATAAATTTTGAGCCATTAAAAATAACACCAAACCTTAAAATAAAAAATATTGACAATTAAAACGGAACGTACGACCAACGAAGGAAATGTTGGCAATTAAAAGTCTCTTAATTAAGAGTTGAAAAGACAAATTATGACGATAACACAAAACGCAGCGTTTTGTAGTCACTGGCCGCAGTTGATGCCTTGTCCCCATCACCCCACTTTAGTAAATGCCAATTACGACCTCACGTTTACCAAAAAAAAAAAAAAAAAGAAAAAAAAGAAAGAAAGAGAAACCTGTACATTACCTCTTTCTTTCTTGTCTGTTTCTCACAGACCAATAAGAAACAACCACGTACATCTCCACCTAGCGAAATGGAAAATAATCATTTAAAAAAAAAAAGAAAGAAAAATCGAGTACCAAAAATATCCAAACCCATTAATAATTAATACCGAAATCCCCATACTCAATTCTCCTCCGCTTCCCAAACAAATCGCTCTCAGTCCCATTTCCTCTCCCATCTCTGTGCTTCGCTTCCGCCATGTTCGCCGAATCGGTTTCTTCCACGCTCTCCATATGGACCTCCGTCAACAGTTGGTTCACTCCCACTGTTCTCTTCGTCGTCCTCAACCTTGTGATCGGCACCATTGCTATTGCATCCAACTTAGGCGGCCCTCAAGGACCTACTCAACGCCGTCCTTCCGACCCTGACCATCCTCAGTATCTCCAGAGATCTCCTTCTATGCTTCAGAGGCTGAAATCGATTAATCTTTATGCTTATAGATCCGAAGAGCCGGCGACTGTGTTCGAGAAACCGCCTGAAACCGACGCTCGTTGCGCTAATTTCGAGCATCCGCAACTGGTTAGATCTCCTTCTGTACTTCAGCGGCTTAAGTTTAGTTTCTCAGGCTACAAACCGGAGGAGTCTCTCCAGTCTCCGCCGCCGGAGACTGTCTTCGATAAATCGCCTGGAATCGACACTCATTACGGTAATTTCGAACATCCGCAACTGGTTAGATCTCCTTCTATGCTTCAGCGGCTCAAGTTTAACTTCTATGGCTCTAAATCTGAGGAGTCTTTCGAATCTCCGCCTCCGTCTGTTCCTGCGGTTCAGAAAATCGAGGATGTCCAGATCCGTCGGAGGGAGGATGAGTCGAAACGAGTGGAGGAAGAGGAGGATGAAGACGACGAACAGTCTATGGAAGAGGTTTACAGTAAACTCCATGGCGATCACTTCACGAGGACGAAATCCGACACGATGCCGAGTGCGGGTGAGTTTCCGACGAAATTGGCAAGGAAGATGAAGAAATCGGCGAGTTCGAAATCTGCATTCTCGCATTTCGAAGCGGATGAAATCGTGGAGAGTCGCCGTCCAGCGACCGTGAAAGAAGGAAAAGAGAAAATGACGGAAATAGACGACGAAGTGGACGCTAAGGCGGACGACTTCATCAACAAATTCAAGCAACAGTTGAAGTTGCAGAGGCTGGAATCCATACTCAAGTACAAGGAGATTGTCGGCAGAGGGAACGCGAAATAGGCAAGGTAAATAAAAGTAATTTTCAATTGTCTTGGGGTGACATTTCTAATTTTTTATATTCTCAAGGATTAGTTTGAAATTTCAAGTTTTATAAAATGGACTCCACCACCTAAAGCCTACAAGAAAAAGAAAAAGAAAAGAAAAGAAAAGCAGATCTAGCGTTGTTTTTATTTCCCTCCTTGTAACTTTTATTTCCGGAATTATTTTCTTTAATGTCCTTCACCTATTTTCAAGTTTTATTGTTCCACCTTCCAAATCTGACAGCCAGGTCAGTTTATCGGCACAGTAGCCAAAGGGAGGGAGGGGTAGTTTGGGAAATAGATGTAAATGTCGCACGTGGGGGAAACCGCCTCTTCACATTGGGCTGAGCCATTAAATTTTATTTTGAAAGATTATTAGGGAGTAAATGTTAAACGGGTAACGACAAATTTTGTTTTTAATGTTTAATTTGGCAATTGAATATGAACAGTTGAGATTAAGGAAAATAATTAAATTTGGAAAAGCATATTATGCTTAATTGCGGTGGAAGTAACGTGCCAATTGAAACAGCCTGGCCGATTGGAGGCCATTTGTATTCAACCTATGATAACCCTAAAGGAATGGATCCCAAATCCACCTCCAAAGTTTAATGCTTCCAAATCATTTAGCTTTAATTATATATTATTCTCAGTTTATTCTTCCTACTTTACTCGTATTTCAACAACTGGGCCAGGCCCAATCCTGTTGCAATGGACCTTGTTTATTGGAGTCCTTGTAACATAGGGCAGAATGTTAGCCCATTTCAACAACTGGGCCAGGCCAATTCTATTGCAATGGACCATGTTTATTGGGTTCCTAGTAACATAGGTCAAAATGTTGGCCCATTTCAACAACTTGGCCAGGCCCAATTCTGTTGCAGTGGACCATGTTTATTGGATTCCTTGCAACCCCGAAATATGTCCTCTGACCAGAAAGCAACACGTCTTCATGACCTGAAAAGTTTAGGTAAACTTAATTTCAATAAATTTATTCTTCTAAAAAAATATTGCTATCATATCATATCATATCAAATGTAGATTGTTAGGTAGATAAATATTTTATGTCTCAAAGTACAAGAAAAATCAACCATTAATAATTATGAGAAGAAATGGATTAAACTTTATTCATGTCATAATTAAAAAGGGTTAACCATAATCATACATTAATTCGCATCCATATAATTATTATTATTTTTTTTATAATTTCCTGTTTACCTTGCTTTTCGTAAGTACAGTCTGACTACTCGAAGCTACTCTGTACTTTTCTTTTTCCAGCTCTTTTGGATCCAATCAGTGTAAGCTTTATTTTATTATTTTTATTTTTAGAAATCTTTATTCTTTCCTATATATGTTTTTTTTTTCCTCGATATATAACTCAATTATTGTTGGACATGAAAGAATATTGAATTGTTTATTTTTTTTAATAATTTAAAGGTTTATTTTGAAAACAAAAAGGGAGATAATTGGTATTTTATTTTATTTTATTTACTGGAGGGCTTGTACTGAAAAAGTGTCGGTGGTTCAAGTACATCTCAAAATCTCAAAGGGTAAAAATAATTACATTGAAAAAAAAAAAAGGAAAAAATGTCAGCTCTTAATTATTGTAATTTAATAGCGTAATTACTGACTTTGTGTTTAAGCAAATCTATCCAACCTACTGATTAATTGTTTAGGATTAGTGAGCTAATCACTGGTCCCCACTCATTCCATTATTTATTTATTTATTTTTAATTACTGCCATCATCCAATCAGCTGCTCGGAAGGTGTAATTTAAATGGTAATTGTAAGCTGTAACCGTTGGATCTAAGAAGAAACAAGCATGGGCCCCGCCTCCCATTTCTGTAACATTGTCCATTCACGTCTTGACTTGCCAGGTCAGCTCTTATTCATTTTTTAATTTTAATTTTGATTTTATCCAACAACTTACTAAGTAGGTTAGACTTTTGTTTGAAATTGCAAGTCTTTTCAGGGACTTAAGATTAGACTAATTTGAAATAAATCTTCAACATAAAAAAAAATAATAAAAAACAAAAATGAAAAACAAAATACTAATTAAAAAATATATCTAATCATGATGTCAAATAATTTAGATTGCAGGCATTCCATGCAATATGAACACGTTACCTATAGCCAGTGAAGCTTCATAGGGTCTTTTTGTTCAGGTGCAGGTAGACCGCATCTTCACAGACATGTCTATTTCATTGAACCTCTCTCCGAGACAATGCCCAAATCGTTACGCCTTTCCTGCAGGTCGAAACTTACCTGACAAGGAATTTCGCTACTTTAGGACTGTTATAGTTACGACCACCGTTCACCAAGGCTTCGATCGCTGGCTCCCCTGTCATTAGGTCACCAACTTCCTTGACCTTCCGGCACTGGGAAGGCATCAACCCCCATACATGGTGTTACGACTTTGCGAAGACTTGCAGGACTTGGTCACTGCGACCCCATTTGTGGAGTAATTTTAACATATTTTATTCTCACTCACGAGCATCTTGAATTGAAAATTGATAGAAGGTGACTGAACATTGTTTAGTTATCATACTCTTCGTTATATGTGTTGGAGGGTAGAATAGTAATTGTGTTGAAATAAGTTGGGTTTAGATTTAGGGGTTAAAAGGGAAGCTTGGAATTGAAGTTAAGAGAGGGAAAGAGAAAGGGAAGAGGAAGAAGGAAGATAGAAAGAAAGCAATCCAAGCAACTCACAGATTCCCTCTCCCCCAACCCCCAATTCTCTGAGTGACTTCTACTGAACCAACCAACAACTTTTCGCTCCACAGTCTTTACTCTCTCTCCTCCTCTCTTTCTCTCTCTACCCTTCTTCTTCTTCTTCTTCTTCTTCTTCTTCTTCTTCTTCTTCTTCTTCTTCTTCTTAACTTCCTCTGTTCCTCAATCTCCCGATTCCCAATTCCCCTTTCTAATCCGATCTCAAATCAGCCCCTCATTGCAATGCAGAACGGCGCCCACCCTCCCCCAAAACCCGCCGTCAATGGCTCCGCCGCCCCACCTACCGCCAACGGCACCGCACCGGCTTCCGGTGGGAAACCACAGTTCCGTCAACAGCCCTACCGTCCCCCTCCATACCGACACCACAGCAATCACCACCGGAGCCGTCGCAATCTCTGCTGCTGCTTCTGCTTTTGGACCATCATCATTGTCCTAGGGCTCGCCCTTTTAGCCGCCATTGCCGGCGCTGCCCTCTACGTCCTGTACCGCCCTCACCGCCCCCAATTCACAATCTCCTCCCTCCGAATTTCAAAGCTCAATCTCACCACCGCCGCCGATTCTTCCGCCTCTCACGTCTCATCCCTCTTCAATCTCACCCTCTCATCCTTCAACCCTAATTCCCATATCACCTTCGCCTACGACCCCTTCACTCTCTCCTGCTTCTCCAATTCCGTCCTCCTCGCCAATGGCTCGATCCCGGCTTTCACCAGCGCCACCAAGAACCAAACAGTATTCCGATCCTTAATGTCCGGCGCCGAAGATCTGGACGCAGATTCCTTTACGAGCCTCAGATCGGATCTGAAGAAGAAAGGAGGCGCCCCTCTGACGATCGAGATGGATACGAAAGTGAAGGTGAAAATCGGAGGAGTGAACAGCAAAAAGGTCGGAATCAGAGTGACATGTGAAGGAATTAAAGGAACACCGCCAAAGGGTAAACAGCCGACGGTAGCCTCTGTCTCCGACGCCGATTGCAAGGTTGATCTCCGAATCAAGATCTGGATATTCACTCTCTAATTAGTCGGTAACAAATATTATATAATATTTTTTTCCCTCTGTGTCTGTTTTTATTTTGTACTTTTTTTTTTTCCGGAAATTTTGGGAGAGAGAAAAAAAAAGAAAAAGTTAAGAAATTGAGGTTGTAAGGAATGAGTGATTGAGGGGTTGGAGGGAATAATTTGGGTTAAAAAGTTACCTTCCTTTTTTCACTCTAATTGCAGTAATTTTCTTTTAACCTTCCAGTTAATACGATGAATGGGTTGTTAAACACTTGGGTCGCCCTATTAGGTCAATAAATAAATAACATTTCGTGTCAGATTTGTGACACAAATAATTAATAGCCCCCCTCTTAAAAATAATAAAATAATAATAATAAAGAAGGACATTGATTTTTGTAGTGAGTTAGGAGAAAGTGATTAATGAATACGCGCACACAGCGCTCTAAGCTGTGTTTGATTAATATGCATTAATGTAATAAGTATGTAGAGGGAAATTAGGAGGCACGTGAGGAGGGCGTGACGATGCCATGGGAGGGAAGGGCAGTTGGAATAATGTCAGATATGAGGTTCGGCTTAGGAGCCCTACATTTTCCCTTTTTTACCTTTACAGCCGGTCTTTCTCCTTCTTTTTATTTTATTTTATTTTTTAATTATTATTATTATTATTATTATTATTCAGAGGATTTAGAGATTAAGACTTTACTATAAATTACAAATCATAATCCCAATCTTTTTTCTTTAAATGATTCAACAGTGCCTTATTCTACGGAATTTATTTCAATCAAAATGACAAGAATTTGTATGAAATATAGATTCATAATCTACTAAAAATAACTATAGACAAGCATGTTTCAATACGGAAATTGAAGTCAAACTTTCTTTCTTTGTCTAATTTTTGTAAAAAAGACAATATATCATTTTTTTTTTTAAATTCCTTACAAAAATAGAAAAGTTTAGACCAACCAACAAAAATATTACCCAAATGAATCCTAAGACAACGAGAAGCTTAAGATTCATGGTAAAAAGAAAGAAAAAAGACAAAAATGAGGTTACCTCAAATTTGTAAGGCATAATCATCAAACAGAGTAGCATGCGCCATGTATTTGTTGGTGGGCTCCATCAGTTTCACTGCCTTTACTTTTACTGTCTCTGAGAATGATCGCCTGCAAAAGTGGAAGAAGAATCTTCAATTGTTAAGTTTTAGTTATGGGTTCATGAAGAAACCCCTTTTATTCTTCTTTCTACTTTGGGGTTGGTGTGTGTTCTTTGCTGCACTTTTCCTTTTGCTTCTTCAAGTTTTGTAATGCCACTTGTAACTCAGACCTTCTCGCTCTCATTGTCGCGTGCTTCTTTTCTTTTCTGTAAAGAAACCAAACCCTTTGTTGATGTGTATTGATCGGGACTACTCCCACTGCCAAGATGCCTTTTGTGCATGCAACCCTTTTCTAGAATCATCTTCTTTTATCCTCTAATCTACAAATCTCACCATCAGAGTATAAATTATGATTACTAGTTTGGAAATAACATCAGAATCTGACTGAAATCTTCTCAATCAAAGAAAGTGCTTCTTGTTCTTACATCTTGAAGGAGGAATTGAGATTTACAAACAGGAACGGCCACCTCTGTCGGGCTTTCTGCACAGCTGCAGCTCGGTTGTATCTTTGTGCAGATGAAGATTAGCTTTAACGAAGTTCACAACAACTGAAGCCAATTCATCTTGGTGAGCAGTATATTCATGATCAGCCCCTTCCATGATGCATAGAACATGATTTGCTATGGACTTGGAAAACTCGACAGCATCTTCAGCTGGTACAATTTTATCCATTGATCCATGAACCGTCAAAACCCTGAAGAAGAAAACTGAATAAAAATGAAGAATCAAGCAAATCTAAAGTGGGGTTTCTCTTGCTTTTCATACAGCGGGCTCTAGCACGAGGTCCGTCCGTCCTCCATTGGAAACACCACTTCCCATCCGACTTACATGTATAGCGGGCTCCAGCAGGAGGTCCATCCGTCCTCCACAAGAAACACCACTTTCCATCCGACTGACATGTATCGCGGTTAATACGCGCTAATTGGATAAGTTATTAAGAATATGGCTCATGCCATTCGAGGTGGCCCAGCCCAGCATTCATTCCATTGTCATGATCCTGAAAGAAAGGATTAAATAGAAGAGCTACATCCCTCACCTACAGTCACGCTGAATTGCTGAGCATGCTGCATGAACCTCGGTAGTTAGTCGGTCCATTAAACTTTCTTCAGTGACACGATATTCGATCTTCCCTGATTACAAAAACATGAAATAGGAGAAATTAGTTTCTAATTATAATGTGGAAGCTGGAATGTTTCTGTAAAGCAGAAACGGAGAAGATCACTTAAGAACTTGTGTCATTTTGTGGAATCTCGGTGATGTTGAAACAGAAACTAGAATTTGATGGCTTACCTCTTCTATTCTTGACATCAATAAACCCTTTTTGCTTAATTCTTTGCAAAAAGTCTTTACCTAAGCGACCTTCAATCCCTCTTTCAAGGTTAAATCGGCCAGATACATTAACAACTGTATGAACGTCTCTATACTTTGAAGCGTACAAGAGAACTACATTACCCCCTGCAACAAAATAACAAGTAAATTGGCGGTTACCATATGGTCCTTCCCATGGAAATGTCCTCAAAGTGCTGATTTATGTCAATAAATTATACAAACTCCAAAATTAGCACTTTATACTAGATTCATTTCACCAGAATGAGCAAGGATAAAGACCTTTACTGTGTCCAATTATTGCGTTCACCGTATGTTCCTTTCCATGGAAATGTTGCACAACAGCACGTAAATCATCAGCTTCTCTGCGGTAGTTGCCATACTGGAATGAACCTTCACTTTCTCTGCCAAACATAGAACAGAAAAATTGTTTGGGTGCTCGATTGTATACAATCACTATCAAATTGTACGCAACTGGGAATTTCTATGGCATATCATGGTTTTCCTTGTAATTAGAACATAGAGCATTTTTAAGCAATAATTTTTAGATACGTGAGAACTAAACAACGTGGGGTCCATTGCTGTCTACATTTGAGACTGAGGATAAATGTTTGTATCAAATGATATTATTCCTAATGCCCACAATAGCCAGAGAAGCAGACCCAAACCTGTATTTGAAACAAATCATAGAATCAAAAAGTAAACAGAAACCAAAACTATAACAATAACCTTCTTTTCTTAAAGATTGTTGCTCGGATTCAATAACAAAAACACATTACACATAGTTAATATGCATTATAGCATGCAAGATACATGGGAACAACGACGGTCTATAAAGAAGAGTTTCCACTGAAGTTATGGACATATAAACATGGAGAAGCTTTGATAGTATTATACTTCTTCAAGAAACTTTTAGAAACTTCAGCTTTGAAGCAAATAAATATGCTTAATTCTTTAAGAATAAAAATGGTGGAAAATTGACATCGTTAAAGTAAGATATATAAGAATACAATTGTAAATTCTCACATTTACAGGAGCGCCCTTATTATTAATCAGACTGGTAACCTTCAACCATAAATTTCAAATCATAAGGTGAAGAGACGTGTTCTATGATTTTTCCCACGCAAAACTACATTACCTCATCCATTATCCGTCCTAAGATCTTACCCGTTTCCAGCAAAGTCAAAACGGAAAACACTCATCCCTTCTTTCTCTAAAGCAGTGGCGAGGTTCACCATAGGAATGCGATCCTACAAATGACAGTTCATAATATCAAGTCAACCAAGATCGAGAAGAATTTGAAAGAGAAAAGGATAGCAAGCCGTCATCATAATGAAAACTCTAATGCAATGCAAGGCGAACAAATCCAGAAATGTTAATCTTGATTCATTTGAACTCAACAACATTCTTAACAACACATTATAATTGAACATAAAAACAAAATCACAACTCAAAAACACAATGCAAAGTACCTTCGGTGGTACAAATAAGATGGTTTCTTTCACTGATGAAATCAATTGCACGCTTTAATTTTTCTAAAGATTTAAAAGCCATGCTAAGGTAGTTTTCTCAATGGAAATGGAAAAACACATGGGAGGACACTTTCACATATCATGTGAGTACAAGCAGACAGATAGATAATTTACTCATACCAGGACAGAAAAGAATGGAGTCAGAACCATATAAAAAGAATCTAATATATAAAACCTTCGAGGACTGAAATCCATGGCAAACAATAACAAGCTCGCTTGATCCGGTATCATGCAGGATTCCAACAAGCTTTTCACCATGGCTATTCTGTATTACAACTCTGTGCTGTTGAGCCACTACAATGGGAAAAAGTAAAATAAGATAAAATCTGTCTTGATGAAAAATGCACTACACTTGAAAAGTTCAAGCCTAATACTGATTATTAATCATGTGCTTAAAATAACGATCAGAATCTATAAAATACGACATGGAATAAATTATATATCATAAAACAAGGTAACATGCCACAAACTTCTCTTCCCCCTTCCTAACCGAGTAAAGTTTGGACACTGTTCTAACTAATACTTAATTCTAAAATTCGAATGAGATAACGAAGCAACTTCACTAAAGCGCGAATCGTTCACTTCATTTGTTAGATTGAACGAGGTAACATACTTGCGTAGATCAAACGAGGTGTCGGACTCGGCAGCAGCACTTTTCCTGGAAGATCCACATCGAACGTATTGCTTGATTAGCTCGATGAACACTCCAAAGATTGATCTCCTGGCAATGATCAAATAAAGAAGAAAAAAAAAAGGAAACCTGAACTCCTCGTTCGCAATTTGGAAACGCCTCAAAAGCCTTACGAGATGATGTGAATGGACGTTGTTCGTGAACTGTTGTGGTTGAATTCTTCACCAACAACTTCAACCGAACCGGTTTCTATCCAAGTCGATTCTTCAACTCCCGCGCCGGCACCACGAATTTATATCTCTCCGAGTGAAAATTTCGAAGGGCGGGTAGTATGAAATTCGGTATCTGATTTTCATTTTATTTCACCCTCCAACTTTTTGGGCTTTTTAATTGGGCTGAGATTTGGGCCCGGGGTTTCCTTTCTCGTTTAGTTGCAATTTCAAAGCCCAAATACTCAAACGATTTGTCGTACAGCGCCAAACATCATAGCCACTTGTCGTATAGTCCTATGCTTTTATTTTATAAATTTCCAAATATTTATTTTCAAGCTTTTTAGATATTTAATTTGTCTTCAAATTTTATATTTATCTTAATTCCAATCATTTGTTTGAATATAAATATACCCAT